AATTATGGTAGAAAAAAAATGCTATTAATCAGATATTTTACAGGTTATCCCTTTTTCTAACGAATAGTGCAAACCAGAAAAATATAAACTCAGGCCTATGTTAAAATTCCAAAAAATTAAGAAAATAATGTTTGAGCACATATGAATGCTATATTTCTGCATGTCAAACAGAAGCCGTGAGACAACATAACCAAGCTATGAAGGACCGTTTTGAGAATCTTTCAGCGTGGAAAGAGAAGTTAAAGGAGGAACGAGAGTTTTACGAAATTAAATTCAAGGAAGCGAGACAGTGCTTAGCAAACAAATGTGTCGAGAATGAAACACTTAAAAAGCAGCTCCAGGCTTTTGAAGAAAAGGGGGAAGATCTCACAGATGTAAGTAAAATGCGTGTATGTTTGTGTCAGTCAGTGGGATGTATTTGGGAATGCTGAGAAACACGGATATGGCGAGAAACGCTGCCTGTGTGTTGCCTGATGAATGAACAAAAGTCATAGATACCACAAATAGTGAATTGTTCAAGGCTGAAGTCATTAGCCCCATCAAATTCAGTAAACATGCTTAGGATTGTAGTGCAAACAGAATATTTTGTTACAGCAACAGGAGATACACAGTGAACAAGAAATTCTTGTTCCTTGATGCTGATAATAATCAGAATGTTCCAGGGTTTTCTTTACTTGAGGTTTAAACCTCAAATACGCACCTCTTTTTCCCTACAGTTGAATCCCCAACAATAAAGTCAGATTTACTATAAGGTGTCTCAAGCAGAAGATCTGGGCTTCTTTAAAATCCTGCTAAATCCTTGACTATTTTAACTCTGCATTATTTTTATATTGCAGGGATTGGAGTAGTTTTCTGTCTTGGACAATCCTTGCTAAGCAGCTTACCTGTAAGGCCCATGCCAGTAAATATGCTGTAGCTCTTATAGTTATCTGCTAAATGTGTTCAGACTTTATGCCAAATTCAAACTTGCATTTTCTGATTTCTCTACCTGTTTGATTCCTATAGTTTCCTTCCATTGTGCTTGTGGCCTTGGACCTGCTTTGCTGTATTAAAATCTGTATTAGATACTTGAAAGAATATTATTGTATAGGGCTACTTGATCCTTATACCGCCCTGAGTCGCCTGCGGGCTGATATGGGCGGGATATAAGTGATGTAAATAAATAAATAAATTATACAGATTCCCCGGGAGAGAGATAAGGTGATTTGGTATCCCCATACTACAAAGAACTTGCCACAATTATGATCCACACAGTCAAAGGCTTTAGAATCTATGTATATAATAAAAGTCAAAGTTTGTATGCGGAGAACAAAAGTGTGGCGGTGTGGCGGTGTATGTGCCAGCATTTTGATTGGCAGCCTGAAAGTTCCAAGCTTCTGATTGGCTGCCGCTGTGGTGCTATTTGCATATGGTCTCTGGCCAGCTTCAAGAGGAG